TCCTGCGGCTCTTTGCAGCATATGATATTAAAACGCTGTGTGATTGAATTATAACCAATCAGGGTGCTTTTACTATGTTATTAACCAGTTGTAGTTGCTAAGATAATTCTTGATCAGTCATTTTGCTGTGAGAATAATATATCCAAATAGGAAATGAAACAATGAATTCACCCGACTGTTTCTCTTTTGGGTAACGCTGATGGCTAATTTGACTCGTGAACCACTGAGGTCTGCGTATCACTGGAGTGTTGGAGTTTGACTGTGTAGGGGAATGCTTGCTTGTAAACAGTAAAATAAAAGTGGAAAAATCCTTTGTTGGGAACATTTTTGATGATTTTAGGCTTCTTAGAAAACCTTTCCCCACCAGATTAAACTTCTGAATCAGATTGAAGTTGCTGGTGTCCCTTGAAGAAGTCTGCATTCCAAGTCTGAACCGTAGAAACAGAGTTAAAGTGGTTCAGGTGTAGCAAGCCCAGAAAATTCTGATCTGTGTGTGTGTGTGTGTGTGTGTGTGTGTGTGTGTGAATGGCGTTTAAGTTTGGCATTAGACTTCGGCATCTAAACCTAGCTGGTGATTGCCATGGTGTCTCTGGTTTAAATAACATGCAATGTTAGATGTTTTTTGGACTGCCTTCAGCGTCCTCCGCTGCAAACTAAGACGTGTTGTGTATCGGAATATAGCTCGGGAGTTCCTTAGGGACACTGTTTTCCTTTTGAGTGCTGTAACCGCACAGGTGGCCCTGTTGGTGTTTAAATAAGAATGGCGCTCGTTAGAACCCTGCACCGGCTCAAAGCGTTTTCCAAGCAATCCTCCCTCCGCGCCTGTAAGGTGGACAGGCCAGGAGTGTTACCTGGGCAGTGGTATTGTGCGGGGCTTTGTGGGTCTGGCCCATGCTGCAGTGCATAAGTGCATCCTTCTGTTTACTTTGAGATGGTCATCGGTCTTCTCCATTGCCGAGAAGGTGTGCGGGCATAAGTGCTGGCAGTTCTTCAGGTGAGTTCTTTCAGAGGCTGTTAAGGTTACGTTCCTGGGCCTCTTACCCTTTAGTTGGATTCTCTTTTCAAGTCTGCTGGACCAACCTGCGGCTGCTGCAGTTCTGCCTTCTTGGGATGGGGACGAAAGTTTGTTTCATGGGTTCCTCTAATCCCTGGGCTCCCCAGCCCCTGGGGGAAGGAGTTTTGTGTCACCAACCTCTCCAGCTGAGCAAGGAGCGGCATGGATTCCCCTTGCTCCCTGCTGGTCAGGCAGCTGGAAGGTTGATGACTGTGGCAGTGAAGAGAGATGGATGCAGGGGGGGGACGCAAGATTTTTAAAGGAGGCAAGTGGCTCCTCCTTCCTCTGTGCTTTGGGTTTGACTAATGTGCTCATAAAGGGGTGAGCAGCTTAAAATGAGTGTGCCTATCGATCCCCTGGATTCCTTCTCCAGGGAGCACTAGGGCTTTGCTCTGGCGGTACCTCTCCTTTGGTGTGTGACTGTTTCATCACTTCTCTGTCCCGACAAGGTGACCTCCTTATTTCTGCATTTCCTAGAAGACATTGGTTTGTTAGACACTTCACACTTCATAGCCCACTTCTTCCTCCCCTGCGCAGCGCACTCCAATCCAGCCAGGCTGCTGGATTTTGCTGGTGGGAGTTAAGAGGCTCTTGGTCTGGGAAGCCTTTAGCGTTTGATCAGCTCTGACTGTTTCCTGTCCAAGCACAAGCCTTATATGGAAAGTTCAGGCCTGGCAGGCGCCAGCCAATGAAGCAAGCCTTGATGTCACTGTTTAAAAATGTAAATAACCCTGTTGGAGGCGGAGATGCTGGCAGTGTAAGGGGGGGTGGGGTAGGGTAGGGTGACCAGATGTCCCTATTTTATAGGGACAGTCCTGATATTTGGGGCTTTGTCTTTATATCGGCACCTATTACTCCCCCACCACCAGTCCTGATTTTTCACACTTGCTATGTGGTCACCCTAAAGCAGGGGCAGTTAATTTTGATCCTCCCAGGAAGAGGAAGAAATGTACCTAAATCTGGGCATGGTTTTGTGGGTCTGGATTCCCTAGGTTCTGTTTTTTTGACTCTGTCGCCAACCCCCTGCGTGTCAGTAACATAACCTCTCAGAGCCTCAATTTTCCTGCTTGTAAAATGGGGGCGTCGCTGACATAGACCACGGGGAAGGGGGAGCACGTGTTCTAAATTAGTATTCACAAAGCACTTGCAAATCTAAAGAGCTCTGTGAGCGCCGTGCATTGCTGTCTGGGTCAGTTGCACAGGCGTGCTTCTCCCCAAACGCTCCTCACGGTGAAATTGACATCTCGGGGTGCTCCACAATGGTGGTTGGAACTCCTTGAGCCGCTGGATTCGTGGATCTGAAGGCCGGAAGGGACCATTGTGAGCGTCAGGCCACGGGAACTGCCTGATTCCAGCACTGAGCCCTGTATCTTGTGGTTATGTATCAGCAGGATATTGCACAAATGCCTAAGCAGCATAATCACGCTGTTGCCACGATATGCTTCCTGATACCTGGGTAGATGAATACGTTTCAAGGAAGGGCTAGAGATCTGTTTGAATCAGAACAGCATCTGCAGTGACGTACTTGGGATAAAACCAGCATGAGCCATCAATCCAAATGCTCTAGGACAGGAGTAGGCAAACTACGGACTGGGGGGGGGCCGCATCCTCTCAAGCTCCTGCCTCCCTCCCCGTGTGTGCCGTGGCTCTGCGTGGCTCCCGGAAGCAGCGGCATGTCCCCCCTCTGCTTCCTATGTGTAGGGGCGGCAAAGGGGCTCTGCATGCTGCCCCTGCCCCAAGTGCCACGCCCACAGCTCCTATTGATGGAACCGTGGCCAATGGGAGCTGCAGGGGCGGCGCCTGCAGGGCGGGGCAGGGCGCAGAGCCACCTGGCTGCGCCTCCGTGTAGGAGCCGGAGGGGGAACATGCCATTGCTTCCGGGAGCAACTTGAGGCAAGCGCCGCCCTGAGCCTGCACCCCCGACTCCCTTCCGCTCCCCAACCCTCTGCCCCAGCCCTGATCCCCCTCCCGTCCTCCAAACCCCTTGGTACCAACCCGGAGCACCCTCCTGCACCTCCAACCCTTCATCCCCAGCCCCGATCCAGAGCTCACACCCCAGCCGGAACCATCACCCCCCTTCCTCCCTGCATCCCAACCCCCAATTTCGTGAGCAGTCATGGCCCACCACACAATTTCCATACCCAGATGTGGCCCTTGGGCTTTGCTCACCCCT